CACATGAAGAAAGCTTAGCTGCAGGGCTGCACTCTGCATTTCACACACTGGCTTTTGTTCCAACAGAATGTTAGAACAGCCTGCTCCAAGGAGATTAGCAAGCACACAAAATGGTGACAACCTTGTGATTACAATATCTGGAAGATTGGGTGCTGCTATTAGAAAATAGTTCCGGCTGTTCAGAACAATGCTTTCAATCCTAATAGGAGCTGCTGGTAAAAGTATTGCCAAAATATATGCCATATGTAGTATGGGTAATAATAATGAAGACTCATTAGTGTAGCTTTTTCCATTACTGTTATTGTCATTCATGTATGTATGCGGGTGAGTCAAAATGATCGGCACTCTGGCCGTAGAATTTATTTTAATCAACTTTTAGAAAAGACAAATTATTTTTCCACATAATCTCCTTGCTTTTCAATACCCTTTGTCCATCTGTCAACAAGCCTTCATATTCCCTCATTAAAAAATGTTTTTGGCTGAGCTGCGAGCCACAAATGCACCGCTATAGATACATGGCAGCCGCACAACTTATAACTAGCCTTTCGTAGCAAGGTGCACATGGAAGGGCTTACAAAAATACAAAACAGAAATAGCCCAGCACACTTACCACCGAGCCTGCAACAAAACCAATGTGTCCTGTCTAACAGTATGCGTTATGACAGATTGCGCTGTCTTCATCAGAGGGGAATCTTTGTCCTCGTAGGGCTGCTTCCAGGGGACCAAACGGGTGAAAGTCCGATGGAGCAAGATCACTTGTCTATTCGACAGAACATTTCACATTTACGTTCAATGTTATCAGCCGCGGGCGGCCGTCACTTGTGCAACCTTCCTTGAACTTTAGCCATTCATAAACACTTTCTCCATACTGCGCACAAAATATTTGATAAATAACAGCACCAGGCACACCATGGTAAGGCCACAAAAAACTAATCACTGCAGGCTGACCTTCTTTGGGGCAAATCACAAGTGGGGCATCCATTTTTTTTTTTTCTCGCACCGCAGTTACAAATGAACTGACGTAACACATTCACAAGTGCACAGCAGTGACTGGGGAGACAGTAGCTTTGAACGGAAAGCGCTGATAAGTGCGGCCAACAAAAGGTTTAATATAACCAGAGTTCCGATAATGACTTGCCCACATATTATGATCATTTATAGCGAGTAGACAGATTTTATATGGAAACGTGTGCTTGAAAAATCCTAATTTTATTTTGAGATGTAACACAAACCGTGTGTGTGTGTGTGTGTGTGTGTGTGTGTGTGTGTGTGTTTTAGAGTATAACACCACTTTTACTAAGTGTAATGCTTTTGTAGCCTGTGGAAAAAAAAATATGTTGCAATGGGTGTACAAAATAACCCAAAACACACCACTACTGCATGGCTTCTGGTGTGCGCTGTGAAGCAAGCAGTGCAATGTGCCTATTTTAGTACATCACACAATTTACCTTTTTTTTTTTTCCATTTAGCTCTATTCACGGCATTGCGTTGTGTTATGGTGTTGTGCGTTGATTAAAAAGTACCTCATGTCAGGGTTTTTTTTCTTTTCTTCTTTTTCACCGCATACCACCTTAACTTGGTGAACTGTCTTATCAGAAAACAAGGACTGCCCTGTACAGGTGATTTCATACTCTTTATAAGCACTGCAAAAAGAAAGATTGTATATATATGTGTGTATATATACACATTCTAAAAAAGGAAAAACGGTATTTAAATTGCAATACTCAATATATAGCGATAACAAAAGATGAATACAAGTTGTGTTTGACTTCTGCAATTACAGGAGGTGTTCAAAGTAGTTATCATTAGCGTCCAGACACTTCTGATTACAGCAAACTACTGCTTGAGCAACGTAGACCAAAGTGTCCACTTGTAGCGTTGCGCTATACTTCAACAGAGTTCTCGAATTTGAAATACCACTTCGAAATGGTCTTGCGCTCCTCGAACGGCAACCTTCTGCCATTTTCTTTGACTGTCCTGCGCGGTGACGCTAGCATTGATTAACGCCATCTTGTGAGCGAACGTCATACTACACTGCTACCTTATTTCAATTCAACTTTGAAAAGTAATACATAGATAACATCTCTTTTAAAATGTGTATACATTTGTTTGGCACCCCCTGTGTATGTATATGTATGCGTGTGTGATTATATATAGAGAGATTATATATATATTATTATTATTATTATTATTTTATTTTTTTTGCCCTAGTTTTCATCAACTCATTTCACAATGGATGGTGGTATTCTTATGGTTTTGTTTTCTTTCAGCAATCTAATTTCATATAGACAATAGTGTATATGGTTAAACCGCTATAATCGAGTTAAAACTCCTTTCCGGTATAAACAGGCAACAGTGACCAGGCACCGCAATGGAAGTTTTCCTCCTCAGTACGCACTGCGTGTGTCCCTGGGGGTTTTTCTGACATAGTTTTGCCAAGAGAGGTTGAGTCAAGCTGTTTGTATGTTCAGCTCTCTCCCAGCACCTGTCTGGACATCTGTCTTGTACAGGAGCCTGGCCTATATGGATGGCAGTGTATGCCTCATGTAGTTATTAGCCCAGTATTTTTTCCATTTTAATTTACATTTGTGCATTGTTTTTGCAGATTGGTATTTTTGACTAAATGGATTCCAGCTATCTTAGTGGTTTATTATTATACTTTTTATTTAAATGTCCTAGGGCATTTTCCTCCCTTGAGTTTATTCCTGAGTTTGCAGTTCCTGCTCTGCATCAGCAATAAATGATTCTCCGTTACCAGCTCTTGTGTTGCTCAACTCAACAGAACTTCCATTGTGTGTCAGATTAGAGGAGCCTCGTGTTGTCTGGCCTGAAATACAGAGAGAACAAGTTGGTTGGGCTCATTTAGTTATTTTAGGTATCTATATTGGTGTTCACTGTAAGAGCATTGATGGAATGGCCATTAATTATCTAGGATGGGCCAGTTGTGGTAATTGACTTTAGAGACTGTAATAGCAACTTTACACATTTAGTGTTGGCAGATGAGCATTTTAAAAGCCGGATTGCCTAATCAATCAATTAATAGGAGAACGCATACCAACATACAGTAAGCCTGTTCAAGTACCTTTTTTTTTTTTTTTGTAACTGTTTAAAAGAAAACCTAACGCAAAAATCATAGCTATACCAAACCTCGCCAAAATGCCCTGATACCTTCTACGATACCGGAACTTCCGGTCAGAGGGAGATTTCCTCTGACTGGCAGTGCCATGAGGGAACATGGCGCCGGCTTCCTGGCCAATCAGGAAGCCGGGCGGCGGGTAACGACTCGCCGCCTAACTTCCTGATTGTCCGAGAAGCCAGCTCCATGCAGTTTGGCCGGGAAGCCGGCTTCCCAGCCAATCAGCATGGAGCCGGTCAAACCGCATGAAGCCCCCTTCCTGGGCAATTAAGCCGGGAAGCTAGCTCCATGCTAGCGTAAGTACTCTAACGACGAGTACTGAAATATAAATATCGGTAGTCCAATACCGAAAAACTGGTATTGGTGCATCCCTTATATAATATAAAATTTGGCTTGTTGCTATATACAACACTCCACTGGGACTTGCCTAAGGCTGGCTACACACAGAGTGAATTTTTGGTGTTTCAGCATGAATCTGGTGAAATTTGCTCCGTTGGTGACCCCATTTCCTGAACAGAACTCACTGCATTGCCCAGCGCTGCCAGTCTAACACTGTTGGCATCTGTAGCGGTAACCTAAAACCCAATTTTAATGTCAGAAATTGTTAAACGCAGGAAGAGTGAAGCAAGTCGCTGACCGAATTGGGTCCATATTTATTGTAGCTCAGCCTGCCCCTCGTATAGTAACAGATTTGCCATTAATTTTTATGCCTGTGTTTACAGCATCTGCTTATGCAGACCTAAGCAGCAACAGATTTACCAATGTAACTGAGACCTACTTTTCCTGAAAACACTGGCACAGTGAAAAGAGGTCAGGGGCAGGTTTTATAGTGTGCAGTCCTGCTTTTACGCAGCAACGTGGGAGAATTACGACTCCAGCTGTTTGTGTAAAACAGGGGCAGTTAAACTTCAGCCCTTTAGCTGTGACGAAACTACAAATCCCATAAAGCTCTGACAGCCACATGCTTGACTCCCAGAGGCTGGGGCATTATGTGATTTGTAGTTCCACTACGTTGCTGCTTAAACAAAATAATACCTTTTTTTTAAAGAAGAACTCTGGGCAGAAGAAATCTTAACCCTTGCAGTGGGGCTACCCCCACACTGCAAGGGTTAAGTGCTTGTTTTCCTCTAAGGTCACAAATAACAAAGAATTTACTTATCCGAACTTCGGCTGCTAGACTGGTCCCCGCAGCCTCTCTCCTCTCCTCTGGCGATAGAATGTCCCTTGGCGTCTTCATGTCCATTATTCTGTATTGGAAGTGATGACTCGTGGGTTCTTATACCGCTGGGGTGGAGGGGGAGGGGGGTTGCAGGGACAGGTCTAGCAGCCAGGCAGATTGGGTGAGTATATCTTTCTATTTTAGACCTTAGATGAAAATGTTCACTTAACCCTTGCAGTGCGTGGGTAGCCCCACTGCAAGGGTTAAGATTTCTTCTGCCTGGGGTTCTGATTTAACTATCAATGGTTGAAATTCAGGGTGTTTTGGTTATAAAATAAATAATTTTTGCCTTTTGTAAGCCAACTTTTTGTGCAGATTTAGGTGGATTGACTGTTTACAGAATAAATTCTAAATGATATTTCAGTAATAGTCTACCCATCCTTTTTTTTTTTTTTTTTTTTAGAATGCGTCTGCCTGTATATCTGACTTTGTACCTGCCTACCTAGCTTTATCATTTAAAAATGTCATGGAAACCACAGTACTCATCATCTTTTTATTTAAAGGTTATTTACTCATCTTTTTTTTTTATATAGACAAGTGTCAGACCTAGTTTGTATTCTGTAGACTCCGACGATATGAGTTGTATTCCAATCCTTTGTGTTGGCTTTGACAATAATTGCATCTTATTTTTTGGTCTCTTTGCAGGAACTGGCAATACAGTTGTAATAATGGTTGGGTATCCTAAAGGCATGGATATCATGGAAGTCTTAAGAAGACAAATCCCAGTGAAGATGATGATTACTGTAGGCACTCGCCATGTCCAGGAATATATTAGTGGTCAGTCGGTAGTATTTGTGGCTATTGCCTTCATCACCATGATGATCATTTCCTTGGCGTGGCTCATTTTCTACTACATACAGCGTTTTCTGTATACAGGAGCTCAGTATGGAAATCAGGTGAGCATGGCTAGTGATTTATTGAAGATATGATTTTTTTGGTGCACAGGTCATCCGGAAGATTCAGTAACAGGGCTGTCTAGTTTTGATAACAATTAGCAAAGGTGCTACGGTAGTGATGGGCTGCATCCTATTAGGGAGAGAACAGTTCTATTTTGCAACAGATTAACAACTACGATTAGGGAAAAGGATTGAATTGGAGGAACTAGAACAATGTTTCTCCACATTTTTCAGTCATGGCACCTTATAAAGCTGGCCATACACCTATAGATTATTTGCAGATTTTCTGTGGTCAGATGGAAAAAGTGCAACAGATTCCTCCATCTACACTTAACTGTGTGGATGGTAGAATCTCCCTCTGGCCAAGCCTCAGTATCTTGCGACTCGGCCCCGCTGGCTCTCAAAATACCTGAACAATGCCTGCATCCAATAAGACTGTTCAAGTGTTTTGAGAGCCACTGGGGCCAACTAGAAAGATACTGAAACTTGGCCCAGTGGGAGATTCCTCCATCCACACAGTTTAGTGTAGATGGAGGAGCATGTCGCACTTTTACCATCTGACCATAGAAAATCTGCAGAAAATGTATGGCCAGCTTAAAGGTTTGCAAAATCTTGAGGCACCACAGTCTAAAAATATAAAAAGACGATGTGTGGTCCTTCCAAAATGCATACCAGATCCTTATTTGAGATAGGGGTCCGGTATGGACATTTAGGGGGACTCACTCAAAAATGTGGAGTTCCCCTCTTCACATTGGATCCTCCACATCAGAGTCCCCCTTTACGTTAGGAGCTCCCTCCTTTCACATCAGAGCCACCCCTATCACACTAGGAGCCCCAGTTCCCCTCTTTCACATCCGAGGCATGACGTTGTGTGAAGACAGGACACTGGTTGAGGGGCTGAACTAGAAAATTGCATAGCTAGGGAGTGGGATATGGCGGGGGTCATGGGGTTGGGGTAGAAGGTGGGGTTGGAAGAAAGCAATAAGGATGCTCTAGGGCAGATGCTACTTTTTAAATAAAATGTGGTAGTAAAAGGAATGAACTAGAATTGCTGATGGCCAAATATAATGATATAGTAATCATTATTATAAACCTGGCTCCATGAATCTCATGAATGGATAATGACCGAAAAGATGTAGTGTGTTTAGGTAGGATAGTGTAGACAGAAAAGGGAGGGGTGTGTCATTAGATGTTTAAGACCGGCTGAATTAACATTTCTAAATGTGTGGAGTTTTTATTGCCAATCATTACAGATTAAAAGTTACGACTAATGTATTTATCAAAGTTTATTATAAGTCACCACCCAAAAATGACTATGCTTGAATGTTACATGATGCTTCAAAGAGAGAAGGCAATAAACAAGACTTGTATCCTGTATATAAGAGAGTCCAGCCACAAAGATGTTAACTAGGGCATAGATGCAAGGGGCTATAGTAAAGAATGCAGATTTTTATCAACATTGCACAACAGCTGGCTTATACAATGGACATAATGGATTAACTATTTAAAAGGGGGCTAGGTTGTAACTACTGTAGAGAGTATACATACTGGAAAGAGAATTTCTGTGAATAAAAGGAAATGTGCTTGTCCCTCTGTCCAGTCAAAGCACCATAATTGGCTTCTGGGGTGTTCTGATTGTCCAGTAGGCTGGGTGGGCTGGAGCTAGCTCCTAGGGTTGCCACCCATCCAGGATTCACCCGGACAGTCCAGGTTTGGAATCCTGTCCTCTGATATCAGCCCATCTCACACCTGGGGCACATTATTCTAACCGGACTTGTGGCTAGCCGCAAGCTTGCATTACGCGCGCTGGGCCGCTCTGTCTCCAGTCCATCGACTCGCCCTCCCTCTGTTTTTCTCCTCCACGGCTGGGTTTTGGTTGGGAGGAAGTGACATCAGGGAGAGAGCGGAGAAGGAGAAATCATCCTCCGGCAGCTGACACGGAGCACTTTCGTCTGGGCCCGCCCAGAGTCTTGCCTCTCTACTTCTTACTAACAGGTGTTTATTACATCTAATTAAATATCAATTGAAATGGGGGGGGG